ATATATAGTTGTTAGTGTAGTTGAGTTGGTTCCAATTCATAGTGACCCTGTATAGGGTTTCCAAGGAGCAACTGGTAAGTTTGAACCATCAACCTTGTGGTTCAAATCAACTTTGAGGTCAAGTGCTTATCCTATGGTACCACACCAGGTCTCCATATAATAGTATTGGCCTGCTAACCACAAAGTCAGTAGTTCAGATACACCAGATGAGGCTTTCTGCTCCCATAAAAATTTACAGCTTTGGAAACCCTATACAGGGTCACTATGAGTAGGAACCAACTCAACAACACATTATCACCTAGAGAGAGATTTACTTCAAAGATATGGCTTATGCAATTGGAGGCTAGCAAGTCTCAAATTTATAGGCCAGGAAGTAGTTTGGAAACCTCTGCTGGCTCTTGAGATTTTGGGCGACAGGCAAAACCAAAACTGGCAGGTCAGTGGCAGGCTGAAGACTTCTGCTGGTTCACATTCCGACATACATAGGTTAGGTGACAAGGAGAGGACAGGAAGGAAAGAGAGAAAGCTCTTCCAGAACATCCATTCACATTCCCACTGAAAAGCATATTTCAATTGATTGGTCTTATCACATCAGATCACATCATAGAATGTGATTATATTAGATTACATTTTATTATATTACATCAACTAGTCCAGTGTTTGATCAAACCACTGAGAATTAGAGCCTAGCTAGTTTGAAGCATACAATTAACTTCACAGAGTATTAGTAATTTATCCCATTTTTTGGACATATAAAAAAAAAATCTTGTAAATAAAACCTATGGTGGTGGTGTTGTTTATGTGCTGTCGAACCAGTTCTGACTCAGGGTGACCCTGTAGAGGGTTTCCAAGGCTATCAATATTTATGGGAGTAGAAATCCTCATCTTTCTCCCATGGAGCAACTGGTAGATGCAAATTACTGACCTTGCAATTAGCAGCCCAGCTCTTAATCCACTACACTACCAGCTCCCCAAATAAGAACCATAAAGAAGCATACTTTGGGGAGCTACACAATGTGGCTGTGTTTTCAGTTCATTGGTATCTTCAGTCGCCTTTGGGACATTCAGGTCTGTGCAATAACTCAAGACAAATCCTGCCAAAAATCACTTACTGTTAGTTTTGCAGCCTCAGTTCTTTACAAGAATTGTGTAAATGTTTTCTCTGTGTTTATTTACTAGTGATGCAATGATATGTTGTTGTTGTTAGATGTCATCAAGTCAGTTTCATAGCGACCCTGTATAGGGTTTACAAGGAACGGCTGGTGGTTTGAACCACCAATCTTGTGGTTAGCAGTACAGTACTTATTCTACAAAGTCGGTGGTTCAAACTCACCATTTGCTTCTCAGAAACCCTATACAGGATTTGCTATGAGTCGGCACTGACTCAACAGCACTTAATAACAACAACAGTAAGTATTTGGAGTTCTGGTGGAAGCATGGGTTATGCATTGGACTATTAACTGCAGTCTCTGGTCCGAGTCCATTAGCCACTCCATTGGAGAGAGATGAGTCTTTCTGCTCTGTGGAGATTTACACCCTCAGAAACCCTATGCAGGATCACTATGAGTCAGAACCGACTCAATGACACACAGCAGTTATTTACACGGAATGTAAATATCTTCATAATCTAATCCCATTGTGAAAGGCCATCTAAATTCATCTCCTTCAAATCTCCTTATCATTAGTCTTTCAGCCTCATCATTTTCAAGTCCTGACCAACTGACCAAGCTCTTAGTCATTGCTCTCTGAGTCAGCATTGCTCTGTAACTCAGCCCATTTCCCCTTCTACTTGTACTATTCTGAAGAATTCCTTTCCCTAATATCTTTCAGACTGAAAAGCAACAGCAATCCACTTCTAGCTGATGTGTTCATTCCCAAAGATCCTTCCATAAATTAACCTAAGCTTTCCCCTCTCCATTAACCAGTAAAAGGAATTCTCCAGCAAGACTAAAGGAGCAAAAACAAAGCAGGAGGATCAAGTACTATCAGAGTCTAAATTGCCTGCTTATGCATTTTATTTGTGATCTCTGAACCTGCTAGGGTCTGTGTCATTATACACCACTGTCATCTAAGAGTAGAATGCTGCTGTGCATATCTAGGTTTATGTTTCAGTGAGTCTGATATCACTAAGTTCATATTGGACAGTTTAGGGTATATGGTCATTTGATGTCCCAAGGTAAGTCATTCAGTTTCAACTAGAGCAAGCCTAGAGCTACTTTCCAAATGGAGATTTACATTTGACAGAGGAAGGCATGACTTATCTCCAAAACTTTATGAATATAAGCTATAATTCTAGCATGGTGAATTAAAGCTCCATATACCATCTTAACCAGCCCCAAGACCCTTCTGATATTAATGGGTCTGATGTACCTGAACCTTCTAGAGAATCCTTTCTTGCTTCAAGGCCTACTCAGAACTAGCAACTTCACAGAATACCCAGCAAATGGGTTGTAAATGTGGTAAAAATTCATCCCCAAATCCAGAGAGGCTCATCAAGTGTTATACCCCTTTTATTGCGATTGTTGTTGTTATTGTTAAGTGTTGTCAAGTAGGTTCTGATCCATAGCAACCTTGTATAGGGTTTCCAAGGAACTGCTGGTGAGCGTGAACTGCCAACCTTCTAGTTCAAATGACTTTGATGGTGCATTAACCCAAAGTGAAACTACTTATCTCCACTTTCAAAAAGATAGCCTCATTTTGTTGTTGTTGTTGTTGTTGTTATATGTTGTCAAGTCACTGCCTACTCATAGCAACCCTGTACAGGGTTTACAGTGAGTGGTTGGTGAGTTTGCACTACCAATCTTGCAGTTCAAACTGAGTTGTTGTCCAGTTCTTATCCTACAGCACCCCCACAGAACTCCAATATCCTCATATGCGCCCGCAAAACATGTCACCAACCAGTCTTCCCCCACAAGTCTCTACTCAGCAAAGTTTAAAAATTCATTTCATGGCCACACTAAACTCAGACACCAGATTCATAGTTACAGAGTTTATTAAGGAAGTTAACAGGGTCAAAAATGCTCAGGGCAAGATCTTCCAGTCAGGAGAGTCTCTCCTCAGCCATGCCAACATTAAGACCTCACACTGCTTAGCCAATGTTACAAACATCTTTTGGGATTGTGGATAAATGGTCACAGAACACACCACTCCACCATAAGCCCTGACTTAAAGCCACTCAGCTCTAACTCTGTGGGTCAGCAAACCTAGCTCCCTAGAGGCACCCTACTCTGCAGGCAAGCCTCCTGCCCAAAGTCACTCATCTTTACTCACTCCATGGGCTGGGAAATCCATTACTCTGGCTCGTGCTCTGGCTCTTGATTCTGCTGCTGTTGCTTCTCCTCTGCTACTCCTTCAGTGTCACAGATTTCTGTCGCTGAGTCAAGGAGGTTCAAGGTACAGGGACCTCAGGGTCTCAAGAACACACTGCACTCCTGGGTCTTTATTCTTGATGGTAGTGACACCCTCCTTCTTACTTCAAAGATGGCTTGTCTTATACCCATGCAAGAATTCCAAGTTTTTACAATCACAGTTAGCTCTGTTAACACAGAATCATACCAACCTGTCAGTATCTTTTTGCACTTCTCTTACCAAGACACATGAGGAAAGGAGTGGTTTGGTGGGAATTCAAAGGTGGTGATAGTGGTGGTGGTTGTGTGCTGTTGAGTTGGTTCCAATTGATAACGACCTTGTATAGGGTTTCTGAGGTTGTAAATTTTTATAGGTACAGAAAGCCTCACCTTTTCCCTGCAGAGCAACTGGTAGATTCTAACTGCCAATATTGTGGTGAGCAGCCCAATTCATTACCTATTATGCTACCAGGGTTTCTTAAAAATTAGGGTTGTTATGAGGTGCCATTGAATCAATTCTGACACATAACGATCCCTATATACAACAAAACGAAACATTACCTGGTCCTGCATTACTCTCACAATCGTTGTTACATTTGAGCCCATTGCTATTGCCACTATGCCAATCCACCTCACTGGGGACCTACCTCTTTTTCACTGACCCTCTACTTAACAAGTATGATGTCTTTCTCCAGAGACTGGTCCCTTCAGATATGTCCAAAGTATGAGAGATGAGGACTCATCATCCTTGCTTCTAAGGAGCATTCTGGCTATACTTCTTCCAATATAGATTTGTTTGTTCTTTTGGCAGTCCATGGTACTTTTAATTTTCTTCTCCAACACCGTAACTCAAATGCATCAATTCTGTTACAGCCTTCGTTATTCATTGTCCAACTTTCACATACATATGAGGCTATTGAAAATACCATGGCTTGGATCAGGTACACCTTAGTCCTCAAACTGACATGTTTGCTCATCAACACTTTAAAAGACATCTTATGCATCAAAGTTACCAAATGCAAAATTTCCTTTAATTTCTTGACGTCTACTTTCATGAGTGTTTATAGTGGAGCCAAGCAAAATGAAGTCCTTGACAACCTCAATTTTTCCTCCACTTATCATGATGTTATTTATTGATCCAGTGATTATGATTTTTATTTTTTTTACATTGAGGTGTCCATACTGGAGACTGTAGTCTTTGATCTTCATCAGTAAGTATTTTAAGTCCTCTTCACTTCCAGCAAGCAAGGTTGCATCATCTGCATATCACAG